GGTGACGTGTGTGTGTGTGTGTGTGTGTGTGTGTGTGTGTGTGTGTGTAATATTCAGATTAAACGAGGGCTCAGGATAAGTTTGCATTTTTATGACCATATTTCCCAACACTTGGTTAAATATAATCACTTAAATAAATGGTTTTTCAGCACAATACCAGGGTATACCTTATATTTTCTCATACTTGCTAGTGGTTATAAAATTTATTTTTATTGCTATACTAATAAGATTCCAGGCTAATGCCCACAATGTTATTTATGTAGCCTTTATTGTAGCCTTTATTGTGCCTTGTTAGATTTTTTTATCCTATATTTGATTAGTCATGTAATATTAAAAATGGCTCTTTGTATCGGTAAGCATTTATTAAGCACCTACCTTCTAAGCCAATTTATGAGGTGCTGCAGGAAAATAATGTGTTCAATGTAGCGTTTTTCCTCAAGTTACTCACAGCCTAGAGTGGGTGGCAGGCTTGTGATTCATCGAAGTACAATGTACTAAGTAATAAGATCAAGGTAAATGCCAGTACTCTGACAATGTAAGATGCCCACCATGCTCGGATAGGAAATGCTTTACAGAGAAATCATGCTAAGCTGCGTTTTGAAAGTGTCATCCTAGTTTTCCATAAATGGAGCTAAGTGAAATGTAGATGAGATAAGAGACCCATACTGAAAGGAACCTTGAAATGACATATAATGAATTTGGGTTTTATCCTGAATTCAATGAGAAACCACTGAAAATTTTAAACAAAAGAGAGCAAAAATCAAGTATACATTTTCAAGAAATTCCTGTATTGCTTTGTGGGGGATAGATAAAAGGGAAACAGACTGGAGACAGGTAAACAAGAAAGGAAACTGTTGAAATAACTTAAACTAGGAAATAAACAGATTGCTCTTAAGTCTCATGGTTGGAAGACAGCATGGTACCACTGGCTAAAGCCAAAATTCTGGCCAACAGGCTTAGGCTCAGATGCACCTTACAACTTACATGATGCTTGAGTGTACACGATTTTAGGTTGCACAGTCTCATTCAGTTAAAAGAAAAATAAACCCAGTAAGGTTAGTTGAGCTTATGGGGAACTTATGGTAAGGAGTGAGTGTATAACAGGAACTCAGACCGCCAGGAACTTGCTACACTTGCCTGCTGGCCCCTCTCTCACTCATAGCTTTGCTCCTTGCATCGCTTTTCTCTTCTTATTCTCTTTTCTCTTTCAGTCCATCTCATTTATTCAATTTCTACCTCCTCATAATATCCACTTCCTCTGGCCATCTTGGCTTCTCAGGCTTCATATTATATAAAATATAGTCAGTTCCCCCTGCTGAGAGGGACAATCTCTCAGTATTCTTGAGGTCATCTTCCCAAGACAGAGACGAAGATAGTTCTGCTTATCTCTGCTTATCATCAGATGAAGCCATGTCTCCACAGCTTACTCTGCAGCACAGCCTTTTGAGTGGTTCTAGTCTGACAGTGATAGTATAGAGAGTGGATGTGGAGAACAATGACACCTACCTTACAGCTTGTGGACAAAGCAATTACCTTTAGAAGGGATGTTGGAAGGAATGATAGAAAGGACCATGGGTAAAAAGAACAGACTTCAAAGGACAGTTATAAATGAGAGTTAGGAATTGGAATCAGCTGGATGTAATGATCCATTAAATATGGAAAATAATGAGCAAGGAGGTTTCTAATGTCAGCCACAGAATAACTCATATTCCACCTACCCAAAGAAGGAAAATAAGAAAGGTTTTCAGATGAGTTCAAATTTGGATTTTGTAGAAAATCCCATCAGATAACTATAGATACTAGTTGACTTTCAAGAGATATTTGGACCAGAGATAGTCATTTATGACTACGCTTTTTTCTTTTTGGCTTCTGATGTTTTCTTTTACTTTTGTCTTCAATACTGCCTCTTTTTTCTCCTCATGTGCCTCCTCCGCTTTCTTCTTTTATGTGATCTTTTCTAATGGGCACAGATTTCTAGAAGTCCAGTTCTGGTTTCTCTTTATCTTCTGTATATACTCTTCCCAGGATAATCTCAACACATCCTAAATTTATAAATGCCACATTTATGCTTATATCTTACAAACTTATTTTCAAACTGAAATACCCGATTGCCTACATTACTTCTTTATGTAGATATTTCACTGACATCTCAGACTCTTGATTTAAGTTTCCAACAGCCCATCCACCTTTAGTCTTCATTGACTTATTAAATAGCACTGTGATTTACTTACCTACACAAGCCAGAACTTGAGGATCATTCTTGATATTATCTTTATCTTATTTCCCTCAGCAATGCCTATCAATTCCATCTCCAAAATATGTCATAACTTCATTTTCTCCTTTCCACCTCTATTTCAGCTGTATTGGTCCAAACCACTATCTAAGAATTTTTTTATTTAACTATTCAATAACTTCATATTTCATTTAGAATAAAGTTCAAGTCCTACAGGATTACATGATTCTCACCTCTATTATTATACACTCATATCATACTCTATTCTAGGTGTACAACAAGCCTCTTCCCATTTTGGAATTTATTCTTCAGGTTTCCTTTACCTTAAACAATCTTCAGTGGCCTGGCTCCTTTGAATTATATGTCACAATTGAATCAAGGGCTTTTTCCTGTGTCTAATACAAAGTAGCCCTGATGCCATCACTGACACCTTAATGTCCTTTTTTCTTTCTCTATTTGTATAGCACTTTGCTCTCTGGAGTTTGAATTTATTTATCTGTTTGATTCAAGTTAATATTTCCATAATCACTCACTGAAATCTAAGCTTCATGAGATAGAGATGCTGCCCTTCTTGTTCACGTCTCTATCTGTGGTGCCTACAACAGTGCCTGGTATATGTACTAAGTAATTGTTGAGTGAATGATTCAATTACTTCTTGCCAAAGACTCTTAATGGGTCCTCTCATTTTCACTCTTCCCTTTATGATACATTTTTCACCAAAAATCATCATTTTAAAATATAAAACCAATCACAACCCAACACAAATTTAATCTCCTTGATGGCTTTTAGTATACTCAAAATAAGATTCCAATGAATTATGTTGATTTTCAATGCTTTTGTGCTTGCTTATTACGAATTACTGATCTTCTTTCAATTTGTTGATCATCCCAAACTGTCTTCTGGTCTGAATGCACTTCCCAATATTCTTTGCATATTTATTACCTTCTCTTTCTTTAGATTTTGGTGTATTTCTTCAGAGAGGTCTTCCCTGACCTTTTTACTTAAAGTAAGTTATCTTTATTTTTTTTCTCAACTTCTGTTTTTTTTTTTTTTCCTAGCCTTCACTAGTTTTTCAATTACTACAGTTATATATATATATTTGTATATTTGGTTTTCATCTGCCTCTTCTGCTGTCATGTAGTATAATCAGAGTAGCGATCAGGTCTGTCTTAATCCTCTTCGGTATCCTTAGTACCTGCCATGATACTTGGGATTCTTGAAGATACTCAAATGTGTTTTAACTTAAATGATATCAAATGGTGGTAGAAGGTCTTGGCATAAATGAGATTACTCATGGCTACAAACTAGAAGAAATTCCTAACTAAATCTAGCCTAAAGATGTGTGGGTCTTATTTGCTTATTTTGTGTTATAACAGCATGTTGTTTAAATGTTTTGGAATACCCTTAGGTATTATATGAAGGCTACAGTTTATCATAGTCCTCATCTATGAGTGGTTTTGAAATATTGTAGAAAGGACATTGGGACACATTTCTTTGCCAGATATTAACCCCAGGAGATACTAGAGATCCAAGAGGTTACTGGATTGTAGAATGATTCAAGAGGCCCAGGAGGAGAGGACTTGGGAAGGAAGGAAACACATCTTTAGGATAATGGATATTTACTGACTTTTATGGAAGTATCTCAATATTAGTGGAGTTACTGCACTACTACTAGCATCTCTAGCTTAGCCCTTGTAGTTATTTGAGTTTCTGACCCCTCCTTATTTGGGATAAAAGAGAAGACAGCAAAGAACAGAGTCTTAGGAAACATCAAGGGCTGAGTAAAATACAGTAAGCCCAGAAAGGAGCAGCTAGAGAACAAACAAGTTAAAAGAAAATGGTTTTCTAGTAGCTCAGGGAGGAAAGTACTTAAGGTGGTCACTTGTGTCAATAGATAAGGATGGAGATTGTTTAGTTGGAGGGCATTGGTGACTCCAGAACTAAGAGCTTCAGTGGACTGAAACTTGATAGGCATACCAGAAAGAGAAATGGTGGGTGCAGTTGGCCAGGGGCACAGGGAAGGCATGAGGAAGTATGCTGTCTGTAGAGAATTGTGAAACAGCAGTAAAACTGACTAAAGCCTGTCTACTGTTTAGTATCATTATGCCATGCTCCAGCAATTCCAAACACAGTTAAGGTTAAAATTTTTCTCTCCTCTGTTACCACTCTTAAAGACTCTTAAAGACAGGAATAGAGTTTGATAGTTAGAAGAGGGCATGGGGTCAAGGGAGGATGAATTTATAAGACTAGGGAGTTTTGTGAATGCTTATATAATGAAAGTACCAGCCCAGAGGAAGTGATCCAGTTGAGTAGAGGTTATAATCATGAAGCCAATCTGAGGGCATACCCATTTCTCAAAATACAGGAATGATTTAGCCTTGAAAAAAAAGTAGGACCTCTAATTTTTAGGGGAAGAATCCTTCATCCTTAACTCAGAACTGTTTATTTATGGCAAAGTTATAGATCTATTTCATTTTTTTAATTCACTCACAAAATTTTGGTTATATTATTATATTAATAAGTTATTTTCATTATATCCACTTAGGAATGAAATTTCAAAAATAACACTAATATTCTAGATGGGACAACTACTAACTTATTTCAAGGATTTTATATAATATATTTAATATAATATATATTTGGAATAATAATTTAAAATGTATAATATACATTTAATATAATGATTTTAAATGTATTGTGTTAATAGATATATTCTAATTTCTGACATTAAATTAATATATTTTGCATTTACACTTATTTCATACAGGTAACAAATATTGGGTATTCAAGGACACAACTCTTCAACCTGGTTACCCTCATGACTTGATAACCCTTGGAAGTGGAATTCCCCCTCATGGTATTGATTCAGCCATTTGGTGGGAGGACGTTGGGAAAACCTATTTCTTCAAGGGAGACAGGTCAGTATACACTTATCATGAGAAAAACAGTTAATTGACTAGTTTTTAGAAAGCCAGCATTTCTAGACTATCAGAGACATGAGCTGTTGATGAAGAATTTTGGTGGATTTAACACAGGAGTTGATGCAATTAAAAATTTTTTAATATTTCAAATAATATTTAAGATAAATCTTTCTCTGATATATTCAGCTAATGTGACTTGCTTATGAATGTGTATACCTAGCATATGTTTTTTTTTCATTTCCCCATAATTGCAACATGCTCAAAATACGGTGTAGGCAGTGTATATATGTATCCTTACAATGCCTTTTTTGGGGAATTTTACTGATTTTGTTTAGAAAAAAATACTTTTTAGCACAGGATTTTTGTGTTTTCATACTCAAAGTTAAATTTTTATACTTTGTATACAATAAATTGTGAAGACTTCCAAAGAATTTCAGTTTAGTCATAGATTCTATTTCTTAAGAAGCCATTTATATAGACACCATAGTCAAACTATTACTAGGCTAAATACTTTTAGCTTGAAGTATAATATTTTTCCCAGGTATTTTATTTTTATTTTCCTCTTTTTTTTTCCTTTTATGATATTACTAATAGAGTTCACAAAATGAAAGTTGTAGGCATAAAACTTACAATAGGACCAGGCGCATTGGTTCATGCCTATAATCCCAGCACTTTGTGAGGCCGAGGTGTGTGGATCACCTAAGGTCAGGAGTTTGAGACCAGCCTGGCCAACATGGAGAAACCCCATTTCTACTAAAAATACAAAACTTAGCCAGGCGTGGTGGCACACACCTGTAATTTCAGCTACTTGGGAGCCTGAGGCATTAGAATCACTTGAACTAGGGAGGCAAAGGCTGCAGTGAGCCAAAATTGTATCACTGTATTCCAATCTGGCCAACAGAGTGAGACCCTGTCTTAAAAAAAAAAACAAAACAAAAAACCTTACAGTAGCTATTAGGCAGATATAACCACATCCTTGCCTAATTGTTAACAGATATTACAAATTAAGTTGAAGCCTATGTTTTTTATTAATTTAAATAAATGTTAAATAGAAAAATATCAAAAATCAAATTTTAATTACACTATCACTAGCTAGCTCACAATGAGAACTTCATAAGTAGTCTTTATTGGTTTGTAGGACTTCAGTCTGCCATTGTTCTACCATTTATGCATACATTTTAAAAAACATACACACATATAAAATACAGTCTTCAATGTCCAACATGCCAATATCGAGTTTGCCATATTATCTTAGCATAAATTAACCCTACGCAATGTCTCCAAATCTAAGAGAAAAGTAAGTAAGGTTATAAACCTTGTTTATTTGGAAATTTACAATTTTTATTAGCAAATACTTTCAAACATTGAGCTTTATGTGTGAACAAAAGATCCTATAATTGGCTTCCATGAATAAGAATGTACACTTTTAAATTTATTCTTTGACTAACTTTATATGCAATATTCCTATATTTTTCCATAGCAAAATGCTCATAGATTTTAATTAATTATAATAAAGCTAGGCTGTGCTAAAATATTTCTTACTAAATCACAAATTAAAAAGATATATCAAACAAAAATTTGATTAAAGGAGAAGATGCTACTTAAAGCCACAAAAAGAATAATAAAGAATAATGACTCTCAACAGGTTATCAATGTAATAGAGAATGAAAGGGGAAGAACTTTATTGCCACTGCATAGTGACCACTAATAAAAATAAATCTACAAACTTATAACATATTCTTTAAAATGGTATAACCCTTAAGGTTGTTAAATTTATCAGCTGATTTTAAATGTACCCATGCAGGACTCAGTACTATACAGAGTTGCACATTTTTAATTTTTCTCAAAAAAGGGCAGAAATTAAAGGCTGAGAAGAAGAAGTTAGCTTATAGGGGACAGAAAATGGAAGCTTAGTTTTACATAACAGTTTTAATTAGCTTCATAGATGATAATAAAAATGGCCATTTCATTATCAGATAGCTCTTTTTCCCACAAAAGTAGGGATTACATTTAAAATGTTTCCATTCTCTAAATTTAGTACTTATTGGAACATTTGTTCAAAGAGTAAACATGAAGTACTCAAATTTGTGAAATCAGTGGAGATTAGATGTCAAAAGCATAAAAGAAAAAAGACTATAGCAAATGGGAAAAGGGTTTTTAGTTCGTTTACTCCCTGCTTGAAAAGCTGCATGACAAATACGGCAAATGTGTAGAAATGCCTTTATTACTTTTAAGTTCTATATAAATGACTATGGTTTTGTAGGTTTTAAAAAATTGAAAGCAGGATTTCAACTAATTTGCATGTGTGTGATCTTATGTAAGATGTCACAAGTTATAGATGTTTTATAAACAGATTACTCTATAGTCATATAATTACATATTTCCAGAGTCAACAGCATTTATCAATAAATTTATTCTAGATTTAAAAGTAGATGAAAAGACATTAAACTCTCTAACTGAAGCTCAGAAACAACAATTTAGTTGTCACTTTTATATGAAAATTTTTCATTATTTCTCCCCTCTTTACCCACTACCATTTTTCTGCTTACAAAAAAGCAAAAAGTTATGTTAACAGTTTTCTATTTCTCTAATACTAAGAGCAAAAAGGATTTTTGTATCTAGAACCGTTATAGAAGATTCAGGTCCTTAAAGAGATCAGGCAAATAATGGCTGTAATTCAGGTGAGTAATGGCTGTACCTGTGTAAAGCAGTACATCTAAGGCAACAGCGAATGACGAGTACTCCTGTGAGCCAGAAAGTGATCAAAATCCAGAACACTTCAAATAATCTACTAGGCAAACAAAGCACATCTTTAAATTAGATGCTGTCATACATCAGCCCTGAATGTTGTTCACTTCCTATCAAAATGTAGATACCCTCAATTGCAGCCCAAGGGTCCCCTTCCCTCTCCACTAAACTGCCTGTTACAGTATGAACATGAGGCAGCCCATTCTATCCTCAGTAGCTCTAATGCCTGCTTCCTTAAGATTTCTGCACCTGTCCTACCCTAGCACTCATTTAATTGATTCAAAAATGCATTTTGGGACACAAAGTATGTGACATGTACTAGGTAATGAAGATGGAGTAGTAGAAAGAAAGACCACAGAGCTCCTGCTTTCATGACACTTAGACTGTGTTGGAGGAGACAAATAAAAAACAGTAAACAAATAAATGACCCTGATAATTTTCACAGTGAGAAATGCTACAAAGAACTAAAATAAGGTGTTGCCACGAGAGAGACTCCTGGTGGTAAGGACAGATTGGGACTTAGTGTTGACCTGGGAGAAGGCCTCACTTGTGAAGGGGAAACCTGAGTGGAGACTTAGCCATATAAGCTATTCAGGACAATTTGTTGCAGGTGGATAATATAGTCATGCAAAGGCAATAATTTAGGAAAGAAGTTGGATTGTTTAAAAACAGTGTTGCCTAGAGCATAGTGGTTAAAGTGGTAGGAGATGTCAAACTGGTCAATAGGGACCAGATTACACAGGGCCCCATAGCCCATGGCAAAGAGTTTGATTATTCTAAGTACAAGGAAGAGGCACTGGATGGTTTTCAACAGGAAAGTGACATGATCTTATATGTATTCACAAAGATTGTGCTGTCTTCTGTGTGAAAAATGAGCTGCAAGAGTAGAGGGTAACTGGGAGACTGTTGAAGGACTGCAGGAAGACATGATGGTAGTGGTGGAGAAACAGCAAAGTGGATGGGTGCAGGATAATTTTGAGTGTGATAACAAGTTGTCCTAGAGGCTTGGATTTTAGGGGAGGAACAAATAAATCAGGACAACTACTAGCCTTTTCACTCAAGTAATTAAGTAGACAGTACCTTATCTGGAGATTTAAAAACAGCAACAACAACAACAAAAAAAAGAAACAGAGAAAGGAATATTAAGGGAAAGGGATTAAGAAATTGAAATGCCCATGCTTAACTGAGGTGCCTATTTATACACCAAGTGAAGAAGTCAAGTAGGTTGTTGGATAATTGAGTTTGCATCTTAATGGAAAATTTAGTTGAAGACACAGATTTCAGAGTTATCGACATATAAATGGTATTGAAAGCAGGAGCCCAGTTGAAATCTTCTAAGTATAGAGATAGCTAAAGAGAGTAGATGAAATGATGGTTCTTTAAATAAATCTGTAAATTCAGATTAAAATATCTAGTGTTGTACTATTTTACATACAGCATGGAACTCAGTCCCTCAGATTCCTACTTGCCCTTTTGTTAATACACCATGCTCTGGTACTTGGATATGTTTTGATCTTCATAACATTTAGCTTAAAATGCTATGTTTCTAAGTCATCTCTCAACATCTCACAATCATATCTAAGGCTCTATTGCCATATTTCATAAGAAGCGTAGTTGTTGAGAATTTTAAGGTATTTTCAAATAAAAATAACAAAATGTAGACCTACTTTGTTTTCTTTATTATCATCCCTAATAATGAAATTGAAAAATACATTTATTTCCTCCAGATTAAGTGGTATGTTTATAAAGTAATTTCTTAATGTATATGTTTTTGAGTAATTCAAAAATACAGCAAAAACTGATAGATTGATATTGTCTATTCTTTTGCATTTTTAAGGCCGATCCTGAGGAATGGGATTTTGAGGCCTTGATTAGGAATGCAAATCTCAAAGAATCATCTGGCTAAAGTCAAAATTCTATAGTAGAGATAACTGATGAATCAGAAGAAAGAGCTATGATGTTCATTTATAATAGCTTTTATCACTTACTGACCCTCCCACACAAAATGTCAATGTTTTCCATGAAAATATCTATATTTTAAAGCCCCAAAATGGTTTATTTACATAGTGTTCTGATCTGAATATGCTAATTTACTTCTCATTGAATCTATAAGCTTATTTTTCAGGGAGAAAAATTCAGTGGAATGAGCTTTGTTCGTGTTGTCATATGCTCAAATATGTTGGAAATTAAAATACAAAGCAATATTTATGAATAAGCTTCAGCACCTTTTATAAGACAGTGCTAACTATAGATAATTCTAATTGCATTCCAGTTTACTGGTTGTATATCAAAGCTGACACAAAGCAGACAACCTTTGGGCTCAAGCCTATGCTGAGTTTTTCTAAAATTGTAAAATGATTCCAAATTATTGTTTTGCATTATCTGCTAGGAGAGGGAAAATGCTTTTATATTGACAAATTCATACCAGAATTACTTTCCTACAAAAGAGTGTAATAAAATTGACATTCCATTAACATTTCCTTGAAATGAGATCTCTCTGAATCCTGTGAGTCTGGCATATAATATAGGTGCTTAGAAAAGCATCAGTGAGTGAATTAATCTGTGAATGAACAGACTAAGGGAGAAAGGAAAGTTATACCCAAACAATGAACACAAGTTATTTGAATGTCAGCATTGAGAGAGAAGAAAACACAGGCAGACACTAGCAGTAACATTTTAATTTCAATTCTACCACTTCAGACACAGTAAGGCTGACTAAGTCAATTGTCTTTGAATAATATGATGCCCAATGCTCTGTTATTGCTTGAATTGAGTGACTATTCATACTAAATCTATCGTTAGGACATTATTATAGAGAACACTGTAATATGTGATATAAAAGACTGTTAAGGGGTTTAAGCAAAACAAGATAAAATAATATATGTACATAAATTTACTTTATAACTATAAAACACTACCTAAAGTGTAGGTATTATTACATCAAAAGCATAACTACTTCTCAGAAAACTAATCTGGTTGCTAAGTATGTATTATTATTACTTAAATCACTTGCAGGATGTGATACCATCATCCTCAGGATTTTAAGTTATTCCTAATTCTATTTATTATTACTACTATTATTATTATTACTTGAGAGATCTTTAAATTATGAGCAAATCTCAACTGTATTAACCATTCATCACAGAATGTCCTGTGTGACAAGAATATTCAAAAATTATGTTTATTTAAATATTTTAATTTAAAAGTAAACATTTCCATGCACAATATGTAAAAGAAAATATATTTTAGAATTGGTGGCATGCTACACTAATGATTCCACTTCATTGTCCTCTTCAGAAAGATGCAGTCCAGGCACCATTCTTTCAGCTCAGTGCATCTCCAAGAAGCTATTCCTGATCTGTCCATCAGATCTGTTCTCATCTTTCATGTGATGAGAACCTGCGACAAATACCTCTGACAGTTTCCCTTTTGTTATAAACTCTTCTTTGGGGTACTTCTTAGAACACTTCCTGAAATAATCTTTTTCCCATCTATGTCAACATTGAAGATTGAGGAAGTGCATCTTCAATGGATGGAGGAATTCCAGATGTTACTCAAGTGATGTTTCTAGGAATTTGTAGCAAAACCTTCTACACATGACCCCAGAGCTCTGTAGGTAAAGAATCCTTCATAGGCCTGGCAGAGGAATATCCAAACTATAACATATTTATTTTTTTCAAATTTCAGAAAAAATGGCTAAGTCAAAGACAATTTTTAAAAAATGTATCATTTCCCAAATATGTGTTGGTGAAACACTAGCTTTAGTATATCATCATAGATGTGTAGTGGGTGAAAAAGCATTGACAAATAAAATTGGAAAACATATTTGGTGGCATCAAATGAATTTGGAAACTGCCTTCATGGTGAAAATAGCAGATACTTTTGAAATCAGACAAACATGGTTATACTTCTACTTATCATTCAATGTCCCCCAAGAATTCTCCTCTCTCAAATGGGGACAGTGATGACTATCTCATGGGTTTGTTGTGATTAAATAAAATAATGCATAGAGCAATAGGGCTGCCCAAAGTAGATGATATCACTCTGAACTCCCAATGATTTTACCCTATTTTGTCAATCTTTGTGACCATTCAAAATATAAACTCATTTTAGTCTTAAAATATATGGACAATAATGAATGATCCAAAGTAGGGATGTTCACAATTTGTTCCTTGGAAGTCTAGGATTCTGTGAAAGTGGCTCAAGGACTACACTGTGAAGGGATAAGAGTCTCTTGGTGAGCTCTGCTTTTACTTGTATTAATGTCTATACACTGAGTACTCCAATCAAGACCTACCCTAACGTCTATACTCACATTCCCAATTTCCTCATCAGCAGCTCCACTTTGAAGTTTGAATTTAATGTAGCTAACACAAGATTCATGATTTCTCAATCTGTCTCAACTTACCTTCTCTTATTTCATTATCTTACTAAATGACAGCATTATTCTTCCAGATAATCAGACTCACAACTCTTGAGTCATACTCAGCTTCCTTCTCTTTCACATCCCACATCTAATCCATGAGTAAGTCCTCTGGCTCTTCTTTAAAATATATCCCAAATCCCTTGATTTATCATCAATGCTATAGTTGTTGACTTCCTAGTCCAAGGATTATTGCAGTGACATCCCAACTGGCATTCCAGCTTCTGCCTTATCTCCTTCAAGCTATTTTACTCATAGCAACCAGTGTATTCTTTTCAACAATTAGCCATAAGTTTAAGCTCCTCTGTTCAAAATATATATTGGCTTCCCATCTCTCTTAGAGGAAAGCCAAAAGCTCACTATCGTGTAAAGGCTTATCTAATTTTAAGTTCTGGTTCTCACTCTCACCTTGTCTCCCCAATACTAACTCAATTCCAGTCACCCCAGCCTCTCGTAGACTCAGGTACTCCAAGCACGTGCCTGCCACAGGAATTTTTAATTCCTAGTTCCTCTGCCTGGAATGTTCTTCTCCCAAAGACTGCATGTATTGCTCCTCACTTTTCTCTGCTCAGATGTCGGCTTATCAGAGAGGACCTCTCCGTCCACCAATTTAACATGGCTTTTGATATTCCTAGATAACTTTATCTGCTTTGCTTTTTTCATAGCGGTTAACACCTCCTATCATAGCAGGCATTTATTGATAAATTGGTTTATTTCCCATATCCTTACATATCCTATAATGGTGAGATAAGTGAGAGCCACAGCATATCTGTGTTGTGCAACGTTGAATCTCTGGCCCCACCATAATGCCAGAAACATAATATATATTCACTAAATATGTACTGAATGAATAAATAAATCAAGATTCTGCTTAAAATTATTTTTAAAAATGTTCTGCTTCCTAAGAAAGTTTTTTTAAAAACTCATGAAAACCTCATATATATATATATATATATATATGCAGGTTGGTGATGTCCATATGAATTATAAATATACTCAGCTAGCACTTTTTATTCATTTTAGCAGACTGAATAAAAACTTATTTTTAACACGGGCAGGATATGAACAATAAGATGTCCATTTTTAATATATGCAGGAGAAGAAACAGAATAAATGTCTTATGCTCATTGTATTTCAGTGATTTAAATCAGAGCTTGCCAGTTGGAGTTCTGTAAATCATTAATAGGTGCACAAGTAACTAAGTGAAGCACACAGCAAAGGTCTAATAAATGTTAGTTATTATTGTTTGTATGCATAACCTTTCCCTATATGTTATTGTTGGTGGTGGTGTTGTTTTTATCCTTTGTAGATATTGGAGATACAGTGAAGAAATGAAAACAATGGACCCTGGCTATCCCAAGCCAATCACAGTCTGGAAAGGAATCCCTGAGTCTCCTCAGGGAGCATTTGTACACAAAGAAAATGGTATGCAACATGTCCTTTTTACATTTCATAAGTTTGCTGTCTTAGTAACACATTAGGCTTTTTCACTCTGCTAAATTAAACCATTGGAAAGTGCTATACTAGAGCTATGTAATACTATATTTCCATTTATATTAACTTTCTTTCCTAGATTTACATGTAATATTATGCTGTAGACATTTTTTAACGTCAACTTATTTTAGTTTGTAAAAAGTCATTAGAAAAAAATACAGATAATAGTTTAATATGGAAGTTATGTATACCTTTGAAGTAACCTATATTTCTATTAAAATTCCTGTAAAGATTATAATAAAAATACATGGGACAGGACTGGTCACAAGGAAAATATAGGTGCCAGTTGAGGTGTTATATCTGGTAATAATGCATATTGAGGATTATAATTTTTATGTATTTTTTGGCTTAGAGTGTCAGCAATCAAGGAAGATTCCAACTCTATATAGTGAGAATAGAGTGGATGTATAATGGCATAACAGCAAGAAACAAATCTGAGAGCTGCCTCCTTTACTTGCTACTCAGGATTTCAGATTCTGCTATATCCCGAGTGGAAAGTTAGCCAAACCATGGATAATCCATACTCCCCTGTCTTTTGGCAGATATGAAATGTGAACATACCTCTTGTCATCGAGGGATTACTAAATAGGAATAAATCATAATAATTTGAAATTGAATTTAAGTGCAGTATTTCCGAACAAAGGAAAGGAAAATGACATTCTGAAATAGAGAAAAAATTACCTCATCAATAGGAACCATAAGAAAATAGTGTATTATGTATGTCCTCAATAACAAGAGTCTGTGACATATTTTCAATATAAGCAAAAATAGGCATCTTTTGTAAGAACAAAACTAAGTGCATCTATGGGCAGGGAAGAAAAAGCAAGGTTAATGAAAGAATCAGGGGAAAATAAAAAAATCATACTACACTACCACTGAAAACTGTGATTGACCATAGGCATATTGGAAGATTAAGAGAACTCTACACTGACAGTGGCATGGAGCTTACACCTGTAATCCCAACACTCTGGGAGGCTGACGTGGGCAGATCCCCTGAGGTCAGGAGTTTGAGATCAGCCTGACCAAAATGGTGACACCCTGGTCTCTACTAAAAACATACAAATTAGCCAGGCATGGTGATGTGCACCTGTAGTCCCAGCTACTCAGGAGCCTGATGCAGGAGAATTGCTTGAACCCGGGAGAAGGAGGTTGCATTGAGCTGACTGAGATCAAGCCACTGCACACCAGTCTAGGCAAGAGCCAGACTTTGTCTCTAAATAAATGAATAAAAGAAAGAGAGAGAGTGAGAGAGAGAGAGAGAGAGAGAGAAAGAGAGAGAGAGAGGGAGGGAGAGAGGGAGAGAGGAAGGAAGGAAGGAAGGAAGGAAGGAAGGAAGGAAGGAAGGAAGGAAAGGAGGGAGGGAGGGAGGGAAGGAAGGGAGGGAAAACTCTATACTAGTATAAACTTGAATGAACTGAGAACCAGGATAAATGCATACCAATAAAAAAATTGAAGTGCATGTACTTTTTTTTGAGCATTGCTGTATATATAAAGATGTACTACTATATTCTGTGTGACAGTGTCCCACAAGTGGAACACTGTAGGCAGAGGCAAAGTCAAAAAGAACCTTGAAGTCCTTATCAGAGTACTTGCTGAGGAAAATAATTTTTGTGTATTCTATTGGCTCAGAAAATTAAAAGACCAAGTTAAGGTATGATTTGTATGTGACAAAAGAAGAAATCCATAGGACAGTGAGACTAAGATTAAAACATAACTTTCTGAGATAAAAGGGAAAGCAATAAGAGAATGAAGGAAGTCACAATAAAGTCACACTGAAGGCAGTAAAATCATATTAATAATGTGCCTTAAAACTTAAGAAACTACACAGATAAAAAGGACAAAGAAATGAAAAAGTATGAAAGATGATCACATGAAAGACAGAAAACTGACATCATTCCTAAAAATTATAGCTGTCACCAAGGAGGAAACTTGAACAATGATATAAAAAGTATTTTTAAAGAATTAAATAATAAAGGGGGGAGCTTTTTTGAAGGTAAACCAAAGTGGCTTGTTACACTAGAAATTGGATAAAACCAATTTCTTGCTAACATGTACAGTAGTCTTACCACTGCTGTACACTACATTTTGATAAAGAGTAATCACAGACTATATAAAAATATATACTCTGTAAGTTTGACTCTAACAAATATTTCCACAAGATTCAGTTTATTTTTTCATATGTATTAAATAGCAACTTCTTACTAGTAAACACCTAAGGGTCAAAAATAGAACACAGAGGTACTGCTCTAAAGGGACATCTACTAAGCTGTATAATAGTACCAGCTGTGGAGAATTATGTCTCATTACATTTTTAGGATGAAACGATAGAAAAGTCCAGTAAGGTTCAGTCAAGCATAAAGGATCATGAAATAAAATATAGTCTCATTAATTTATTTTCCATAATTTCTTAATGAAAATATAGGTAAGAATTCATCAGAAGTTGTTCTTCATAAGCCTGTATACAAAAACATATGTCAAAGCTGCTTTTAAAAGGAAAAAAATATAAATACCTAAACATTGATTCAACCACCGACCTTTCATAAATGAAAAATCCTAAATTATTGAACAAGATGAATTTTGCAGAATCAAGGTTTGACATATTTCTATTACCAAGATTTTAGGCTACTTCTTTTCAAATGCTTATACTATCTATCTCCTAGTAACTAGACTTTTTTTTTTTTTTTTTGAGACAGGGTCTCATCTTACTATGATGCCCGGGTTAGTCTCCTGAACTCCAGGGCTCAAGCAATCCTCCTGCCTCAGCCTCCCAAAGTGCTGGGATCACAGGCATAAGCCTCCACATCAGGCCTAGACTTCTCATTTGTAACAAGTGTATTCAATAACTACAATTCTACTTCTATATGTGGAGTGTGTTACTGTAAAATTTGGCCTGCAGAACCGCTTAGTATGTAAATAGAAACTTCTTAACTTTTGTGTAATGCCCAGTAGCTCTATAGTAATTGGCTTTAGCTAAAAATTGAAGATGAGGACACTTCCAGCTGTTGGTTTCCAGTTTATAATTATAAGAAGTACATTCACCCATTTTGTAGATCTAATTCTAGATCAGTGTCATTATTCAATTATGATCATCTAAAGTACTGTTATTTGGCAGGCACTCAAGTTTTCTTCATCCAAGCTTGTTGAGTAATTATATTGAATTTTATTAACGTGATCAAATACCAACTCCGGACTGAAAAACTTGAATCTACATACACCTGTTTTCACTTGGCAAGTTGCTCCCATTGCAAAACTGTCCTTTGAAACTAAAAGCAGCAGTAGGTTTTTATGGCATTCAACAGAATGATTTCCAAGTGAAGTGACCTGAAGTAATCATCTGTCCTATCTGAAATTTCTTGAGAGATTTCAGAGTTCTTCATTCAAGAATGATACCTATCACACCCTTGGATGTTTAAAAGACAGGAGCCTTCTAAAGTACCCAATCTTAGAAAATTAAGTGTCCAGGCTCTATATCTAGATCAAGATTTAAAACTTGTGTTCACCAGAATATGAGCATGTTATTTTGTCTCTGATCCTCAATATCTTGGGCTAAAAAGAATGGATAAAAATTCTACCTGATGGACTACTTGTGAGGATTAAAAGAGAGGCCATATACTAAACTTTAACACAATGCTTCTTCCATAATAAGTCCTCAATCATACAGGAAAAAAATCACCTTGATTAATGACTGTAAACTATGAATTATGCCCTCTATCAAAAATAGATAACTCCCAAAATATAGTTTTAAGTAATTATAGCATTAAAACATTTCTTCTTGATTTTTTGATTTTTATCTCAAAGGACAAATTAAGTCTAAGTACTATAGTCACACAGAAATTTGACATGAATGAACTGTGAACAGAAAGAAAAAAACTGGATATGTGCCCAACAAAAACATAAAATTTGGAGAATGGTTCTAAGAAAAATGTCTATAGTTGTAGTTTAATCATCGGGAGCTTACAAAGTCTATCGTATGCATTCATAATGTTTTAGAAAATAAATTGTATGTATTGCTGAGTTACTTGAGCCTCCCACATCCCACCTCCTCCCCATGAAATATAAGGTACTAGGAAGTATTAAAAATAGAATTGTAGATTTATGTTCAACTTTATTCTTAAAATAATGAATAATGGCTTTGGGGGGTCTATAAAATATAGCTAGGTGACACAAACATTAAATAAAGTTAAATAAAGAGGACAAAAGGAGAAGGAACAAAATGTTTATGACTTAGAGCCAGAAATGAGGTTAGAGTACGAAATTCTATGAATCCTCTTTACTTGTTAAGATTCCTTGCAGACAAATGAAAGCCTCTCCAGTTTTATGATTTAATTTTATTGTGATTTCTCATCAAAATTACAAAAGGAAGCCTGTTGTTTAGAAGGAGCACAGATTCCTGATACTAAGATGATTAGAAATTTTACTTGAGGTGTTTCATAGAGAAGCCTCTTTATCATATATTGAACAATGTTCCCAGTAACAGCCCGAGGGTAAACAGGGTTTCAATTTATAAGGCTGTTTCAGCATCTTTCCATATAGGTTGATATTATCACACTAATGTGTAATTTTGTAACAGCAGTCCTATAAGCCAGCAAAAAGATAAGGTTCTCTTTTCTAGCTTGGAATACTAGTAGATTGCCTAGCATGGTCTTTGAGCAGTCCTCTGTAAATAATATTTCTCTGTCTGGGCTGAGTTTTCCATAGGCATTAGAGGGCGTCATTCCTGGAGCACAGCAGCCACAGCCATCTTAACAGACAGCTGAACCAAAAATAGTGCTTTCTTCCTATAAAAAGTGAATGTCCTTAAAACACATCTTTTAAGACATAGCCTATTTTAATAACATTTCTCTACAAATACACTTTCACAAATAAGTGGTACCTGTGTATGTGTATGTTTTTCCCCCTAGGCTTTACATATTTCTACAAAGGAAAGGAGTATTGGAAATTCAACAATCAGATACTCAAGGTAGAACCTGGATATCCAAGATCCATCCTCAAGGATTTTATGGGCTGTGATGGACCAACAGACAGAGTTAAAGAAGGACACAGCCCACCAGATGATGTAGACATTGTCATCAAACTGGACAACACAGCCAGCACTGTGAAAGCCATAGCTATTGTCATTCCCTGCATCTTGGCCTTATGCCTCCTTGTATTGGTTTACACTGTGTTCCAGTTCAAGAGGAAAGGAACACCCCGCCACATACTGTACTGTAAACGCTCTATGCAAGAGTGGGTGTGATGTAGGGTTTTTTCTTCTTTCTTTCTTTTCCAGGAGTTTGTGGTAACTTGAGATTCAAGACAAGAGCTGTTATGCTGTTTCCTAGCTAGGAGCAGGCTTGTGGCAGCCTGATTCGGGGCTGACCTTTCAAACCCAGAGGGTTGCTGGTCCTGCACATGAGTGGAAATACACTCATGGGGAAGCTTCCATGATGCACAGTATCTGCTGTTCTTCAGTCCTTTGTCTTTCTTTGTCATTCAGTTCTAGGCCTTTCCTCTGCACGCTCAATGCCCAGTAAAATTTCAGGATTAACTAAAGAAGAGGAAAAAAAGAAGAAAAGATTCTTCTTAAAAATTTCTAATATTATTTTTCCTTCTGAAGTCTGAGCCCATTTCTGGGGGGACTATAAAAAAGCAAATCAAAAAACCCACGATTTTTTTTTTTTTGCTTTAAAACAAAGGGAAAAAAGAGTTTAAACAAAAACCCCACAATTGAACTTCCAGGAAAGTGTGAAGACCCAAAACAGCTTTGTCTCCAAAGAAGATAGCTCTCTGACTGCTTTGGATAGTCTCCTACGCACCATTTTGTCAGGTGGGAGATTTGGAATACATATGCAGGACGTTAGACTGTTGGGACAGCCATTTTCCAACAACCAAGGGGCCAAAATATCTGCAATATAGTAACAGCCTTAATAATACATCCATTTTTCGTTTTATACAGCTGTTCTCAGCTATGTCCTCAATGTTTCATCACATTTATATCCATAACTATTTTCAAACATGACCTTTTAATTGTTTTTGAAGTATTTCTAAACCTCTTCTTTCCACCTTACGCCTCCATCATTGTGATAATCTTCCCAAATTGTATTAGGCCATTGCCCCAGGCCTTCCATGGGTCTGTCAGGAATATTCATGACAAAGCAGATCAAGAAGCAGTATGTCTCTGAAGTGGATTACTGTGACAGTAACTTTACAAGGATTTGTGACACTAGTAATATACCTGTGTGACCCTTTGAGAACTATCAGACCAGCTTTCAGAGTCTTAGGATTGTTGGTCTTGTGAACTGATAAATTATAGAACTGGGCAATGGTAAAAACAGTCACAGGTTCAAGAAGTTCAGGTTTTTAAAACAGATATCCTATAATGTCATGTAATTTTTAAATGATTTACACAACTACATAAATGCATTTATAACAAACAGAAATGATGCTACTTGCCAAATTTTTTCTGGCAAATAAAAAAGGTATTTTATTAAGAATCTCATAAGACTGAAATTTTATTTGAAAAACTGGTAACAGCCTAACTCTTCTTCTTCTTTTTTTTTTTTTTTTTTTTTTTTTTTAGGCATACTGAATTTCTGTTTTAAAATCCATTGCATGAAAATTCAATTTGCCTTGGTATATGCAGTTAGCATTGCCATTTTAAAAATGAATTAAAATGATGACTCTGAAGTTGCATGAATATCTTCCAGTGCATTACCTATTGCATGTCCACCATAGTTCTCAAAGGGTTAGTGTGGCTTCTGGCATTTAGCCATCCATTTGATCACTGACAGAGCCAAGAGACCACCAAAGCATTTCATTGTTGAGTGTAATTTGTCCTAACAGCAGTATTGTCATTTTCATGTGACCTGCAGAGCAGGTTTGTATCAATATTTTTTTCCTAGAGAAAAGTCAGCAACTGACAGACCTCTTTATTGATTTTTAGGAGCTGCTTCTTGCAGTGAAAGGCTTTACAGCCACTGGGCTGTGAACTTTATTAGAGATGGTCAGAATGAATGCACCCCATGAGTCAGACATTGGCTTTGTGTGAAAGCCAGCTTTGAGGGGATTAGCTTTTGAAACAATGAACAGCTTGCCTTGAACTTGATTATTGATCTATTGACTGTCATTAACAACAACTTAAACATTGTCTTCTGTGAAAATTTTCCTTGAAGAGTCCTGTTCTTTGTCTTTGCCCTTTGACCTTTAACTTGCAAACTGGCACAAACTGAAGGAAATCTGGTGTTGCTTCTCCATTGGATTAGTTGTTCTATAAAACCTAGTAAGCATGAGCTGTTTCCTTAGAGTGAAGAGAGTGTTGTTGGCAGATCTGCAGATGGACACTTTGCTCTTTACATGCACACTCTGAAAATGCCCTATAGGTAGAAGTGAATTTTAATTTTATTTTAATATAATTTCAAGTCTAAATTCATCATTTTAGTACAAATTACAAAAACTATAGAGAAAAAAAAAAAAACCTCAAATACTTGAATGGCCAGTGTGGCTTTTATATAAAGCAGGAATTTTATACTAGTAAAAATTTCTTACTCATTTGCTAATATAACACATTTCCAGATGATTTTTAATGAGTGTAGGTATACATTCTTATTTGGAAATGGATAGTTTGGCTGCCTTGAATTTATATTTATACTCAACATAGCATGAAAAGTAGAATGCCTTTTGGTTAAACTACATGTTTATGATTTGGTTGGGGAAAATATTTTATAATTGTGGGTGGCATGCTGCAAAGCCTTGCAGATTGTTATTTCTTACAACCTGAGCATATATACTGTGAGGCTAAGAAAACAGAACAGCAGGAAAAGAATGGCTTTACAGTGAAATATTATACAATGTAGACGATATTTTAAGATGATATTGGAGATTAAGTACGCAAGGGCCAAGAAAGCAAGAAAAGAAAACCAGAGTCAGCCCTGTAACTTTACTTCAGTGCTTCCATTCTAGATGATGCTGATATTATAAAGAGTTAGTCACTGCTGCTAAACATGGAGGACTATATACATAAGCTCGTTTATACAGTGTTTGCTTGTGGGAGGGTTTAATCCTTTTAGGGCCTTGATGTCAAGAAAAAAAATAACTGGAAACTATATTTTGCTAAATATAGAAATGAGGAACTATGTCATTTTGGGACATGTGCAAATCATTGAGAAACTCCATCAACCTGCATTGAAAATTGATTTTTTCCCTCTAAAATGAGAAAGAAACTGAATAAGCAATCTATTGCCTCTTCACTCATTCATCACAATATCCTGATTCGTCATAAGATTATAAGCATATAAGGGCTAGAAAATAATCATAGCATTAAGAAGGAAGGAGTCTATCATTATGTTTGAATTCTGGCAAATGTCATCAATAAGGGTTGGGTAATATTTACTTGAATATGATACAAGATTTACATGATAAGCAAAGGCATATATGGCTGCTTTTTTGACTAAAACATTTCAGTTATCAGGCTGTATTATTATAAGAGATAAGAAAACAATAAGTATAATGTAATCACAAACACTGGGGTTCCATTTGTTTATTGTACTGCAGGTACTTTGTGGGTATGGTTCCTGACTCCTCTTCCACTTGGGGTTTGGGGGAAAAAGTCTCAATCCAAATGGAACAGTGAAAAGAAAAGTAACTGATCTAGCACATAAGAATAGTGATTCAAAAACCAATGTGAAATAAATTTCCATAGGTCAATAATACAAGATGTCAGTTCAGTATTCGTAGAGATATGCAAGGCATCAAATATTTTTATCACACCGTTACTAATAACATGAAAAGCTCAGACATAGGATTTCCCAAATTGAAATGAAAACACATTCATGCTTGCAAAAATAATTCTCCTTCTGCTTCATTTCTCATTACTTTATCTAATGTAAACACAAATGTAAAGGTAATGTTCTTATAAAATGACCATATAGTTAAGAATTTTAGTAAAATATTGTTGCTCTGCATATTATTAAACACAATGAAGTATTAAAATAGCTGATCAGTTTGAATTTTCTGCAAAACAGTAATTCCACCTCAGAATTGTAGATAAGGTTGTGAATTTATTGACTCATTTCAGAACAGTGTCTGTTGACATGGCAGTCAGAGCAGGTGAATACAGACACTTTCTGATTGCAAAGGTTATAGAGATAAATTAGACAGCATTATGTGTTACTAGCAAAGACAACTTCTGTTATAAATCAGAGGGCAAGGCTTTTCTGAATCAGATGTAATAAATTACTAAGTAATGATTACCAAAAAATAATTACTAAGTAATGAAGGATATAGACCGGCTTACTGAAATAAGTAAGTGTTATATTTAATAGATTACCTATAATCTTTTTTTGTTAACATATAATTTGGCCATTTCATATACTATATGCCTATTTTCATTACATCTCTGTGGGTGATTAAAAAACGCAATGTGGTGGATAAGAACATCGTCTAAAATTCACTGCTAGTTCCAGTGCATAGATGATGGTATATATACTGGATGATAGAAGTAGTAATATTTGCAAGTTCTACATATTATGGTGATATCTCTGGTGTGGTACAAAAGCACGCCCACACTTCATGAATCTTACAGTGGAATAAATAGTGTGTCAATATTAACTAAACTCAAAGTGCTATCTGAAGAGGAATGGATATTATAATCAAATAGACTGAGTTAAACTGAGTCACAAAAAATATATATTTTTTAAGTTTTTGGAATTATTTCCAGAAACTAATAAAGAGAATTATTTAGTGGTAGTGCCAAGTCTGTGAGATTGTAGCATATACTGAAACAATTTTCTGGATGGTGGTAAGGTCTTTTTTAGCAAACACAGTAAAGAGCTTATTTCATTTCTGATGCTTTCAAGGGCATATTCCAAAGTATCACAGATGTCAAATAGAATATGCTATCTAAACCAAAAATGTAAATTTCTGATGACCTATTACAGCAATCTCAGCCAATATGTAATATCACAAAATGTGTCAAGTCAATCATATTAGAGGATCTACTCATTCAGATGGATTTCATGCACCATCATGATGTTGATACATTGTGACCACAGGAAATAGATGCCAGAATGTATATAGCTAAGTTACAGGTTCCACTCTACCTGGGAGGGAATCATAATTACATCAGGAAATGTTTAACAGTTATGTCTTAAAAATTAGAATTTTATGTAATAAAGAAAGCAACCAGGAATAGTACCACACCATAAATATGAAAACTAATTATTAATAAATATAATAGAAATGGAGGAGGGGGGAAATGAGTCTTTTGTTAAATATAAAGACAATCTATAGCACTCCTTCATAATACAACTGGAAATTTTACTTTAGCAAGCATAAAATACTGGAGAAAAAATGCAACTTCAAGCTCTTCACACTACCGACGATTATGTGATATATCGTTGTATATATTTAGCCAGTGGTCATTAGATGTTACCATGCTTAAACACATCTGATACTCATGCATTGCCTTACAGGCTAAAAATCTAAGAGGTAGGTATTCAGTAACCTCAGTTGGAAAGACATATAATGTTAGAATCCCCTGAAACAAGCCATTTCCCTGAGATAGAAATTTACCTCAATAATCATGTAACCTAAAACACTTGGCATAGTAGCGAAGAAGTTGCCTTAGTGTTCTAGTCTCATCTAATTGTGACCTCTGTCTTTCATGTACTTCTGAAATCATTTTCCATTGGTGTGATTTTGACACAATTCTGAAATATTTCAGGTAAGATTAATAACATCCAATTACAAATATGTTTCAATATTTTATACATATGTCTACTTTGAAAGTTCAACCAATAGTATAGAAAACTTAAGAATGAACACTGATTAGACATAGTCACAGAAATTAAATGAAAAATGATATTGTAAAACTCCTGTCAAATTTCTAGTAGAATACAGAAGTACGTAGCAGTCTTGAATTTTAGACACAATTATGAGCTTATAACTGAACGTGACATGCATCATTTGTTAGAACAATACTAATTCTTTATACTACAGTAAGGATACAAGATCACAGAAGCTTCGAGTTGTAACAAAGACTTCACAGGCATTCATAACTAATGCTTTCTAAGGAAAATGAGGGCATAACCCAGAACTCGTGGTCAGTGCATCGTGAGTATAAAAGTTATGTATGAAAGGCATTTATTTATAGAGATTTCTGAGGATTCTATGCCTTTTCAACTTAAATATCAGTGTGTCTTAGAATTTATTTTATATATCATTGGACTAGGGGTAATATTCAAATGTGCACTCAACATGTCCTCACATTAAAAGGCACATTGAATAGTATAGGAAAATACATCATAAACTAGAATGTTGTGCAGATTCATATAACTTTGCCATGTGCTCTGCTATGGAGCTGGATGTATATGCCCTTAAGAAGGGATAATAAATCAATTAAATATAAATATGAAAATGTACTTATGTTGGGTAGCTTAGCTTCATAGCAAAATGTCATTAACCTTTATTTCACAGAGAAAAACTGAAAGAAAAGAATGGCGAACAAGAATACAATGATAAACTTGGCTTATAGAGGTGTTTCTTGTGAATTTTTTCCACTTGTTTTGATCCATGAAAAAATACAGACATTTCTGTAGTATTTCGTCTGTGGGTAGGTTGGATCCCAGGTAGAATACTTTTTGACACAGGCCTTTTTATACATACTTTATATGTGATAAAGCTTTGATGAGATGTGACTGCATGGTAGGATGCATTTTCCTAGGATAGGATATGGTGCTGCTTGTACTTGCCACCTTTTATATGAATGTATGTCGCTACATTGGCCTGTCTTGCCAAGATATGGATGAATAAAGCCTGGTGTGAGCTGTCTATTTGAAACATCACTAGGATGCATGTTTCATTTGCTGTTACGTAATGCCAATTTGAACCTGTTTCCTCTCTATATATTGACAACCCATTTGTTAAGATAAAATATACTTTGCTTGAATGAACGATTTTGGTAGTAACGTGAGAGTTATCCTTAAATCAGTGTTATAATTTTTGCTATTACTGAAATACCATCACAGAGGCCACTTGGCTGTCTTCTCACAGCTCTTTAGTATACACCATTGCCTGAGCAAAATTAGGTTTTTAGGTATTTTTGGCATTTACTTCTTTTATAGCTGATGTGGAATCAACTATTCCTTTATATGTTCATAAGTACAAAATTTCACTATCTTAATTACTTCCAAACAAACATAATTTCCAAGCAAGTGTGTGTGTGCCTGGTTTTTCTGCTCCTCCAATTCTAATATCATTATTTGTTTGCCTTGTTTGTCACCCAAAAATACAGATATTTGGGAAAGATACATCTTATTGAGTTGCCTTATGCAGTCTCTGTCTATATTTGCATTTCCTTCTATTCCTACCTTGTCTTTTGTTTTTTTAAACACAGGTTTGATTTTCCTTTCACTTTGTGAAAACCAGAATTGAGCAGCATTGTACATCAGAGATGGTACCCAGGAAATGTCTTTGTTCCTCAGTATTTTTCTTCAAAAATTCCATGCAAAGACAATCCTAGTAAAGTTCACGTACATCCCAATCTCTCTCATTGGCTTCTAACTTTTTATAGAGCTATTTCCCTGAGAAAAGAGAAATGCTGAGTATGATGGCTATTATCTGTTGACAAGACAGCTAAAGAAATTTGCTTTTGGAGAATGTATCTTAAATAATTATACAGGAACGTAAATCTCTCAGTAGAGTGTTCTGTTTAAGGTACATCATGGGTACATAAATGCCTAAAACCTTCATCCTTTGGTCTATTTCTCTTTATGTGTAAAGTTGCATATATATTAGAAAGAGAGATAGAAGAATTCGGGGTGTTATAGAGGCAGCTTTTTGCTGCTTTGGTTTTGACTGTATCAGCATTTCTGTTGTGGACCTCTATTTTAAGGGGTTTTAGAGACTCAGCCATAAAAATTTGTGTTAGGCTTAAAAGCCTTGAAATTTTTTTTAGATATCTAATTTTAAACAAATATATCTTGTTTTTATATTATAGGAGGGAAATAAATGGAGTTTACTAGTTCAATTTTGCGCTAACGTACTTTTAATAAACTTAACTTTTTAAAGAAAAACATAAAATCAAATTAGTTCATAGTTGGTTGATGGTTTTATAAAGAATCAATTATTGACCTTGAGAAAATTGCCTGCTTCATCACTATAGTAACCTGTCTTTAAGTTGTTTTAAAACTTGTATACCTATATTAACATTATCTTGATTCCAGTGGTGGATCAATGTGATAATGCAGATTTATGACATCCATATAAGCTATCTGGTAATATAGATTTGGAAATATATAGTATATATGAGATATATATATATATATATTTATTTATTTACTAGATAGATTAAGGAGAAAAAGCTCCCACAAACTTAGTTTGTCAAATAAATACCGTATATTTAAAAAATTGCACAGACATTTATCATTCAGAGTCAGAATGAGATGCAAGTAATTGCAAAGGGAAGTTGTCTCTTGGGTAAACAATATGCATTGTATAGCTTCTTATGAAAATAATTTTTCCTTTCTATATTGTGGCTATGGGAAAGTAAAAGAATTAAAATTAATGCAGACTTTATTTAAATAACATTCAACTGTGAAGCAGAGAGAAACGCCAGGAAATTAAATATTTAGGCCATTATCTTGTGGTTGTCTGACAATACTTTACCTTTATTTTAATTCCCCATGATGTTTTTAGTTATGGAGAGAGTATTAAAATCTCGATTTTAAGTTTCTGCATTGTTCTCATTACACTCACACTATTTCATTAAGTTCTTGATAATATGTAGTCTTCTGTGTGCAAGGAAAGAAATAAATAACACATTTATTTGCTGAATGAGTTTTAAGGTGTGCAAGTTGTGGTGATTATTTGCCCACACAGGATTCTATACATTTATACCATCTTAACTCTGGCATATTTTTTTTTCAGATAGCTTCTACTGACAAACACAAAGCTTGTTTGTGTGCAAATATAAGGCTAAATAAATGGTGCTAAAGTGTATTATGACTGTCAGATAAAATCAGGCAAAATTTTGTGGTGCTTAAATTAATTTTTTCATTGATTTTATTGATCAGTGCATTGAACAGTGTTTATTATTCACAAGTTGTCTTTTATTAGTAAATCAAGGCCTCATAGCACATTGTTAAATAAAGTGGTTGACAAGTCTATGTAACAGCTCACCAAGCTACTATCTCTTTTAACTCCTTATAATGTTGCGTCATTAAAGGTCAAGGGGACATGCTATTAATCTCATTGCTATAGACCATTAACATGACTGAACTTTTCCACAAAGTACTTATGTTTACAATGCTATAACCCTTTGACTGCTGCGGCAACCTTTAACCACACAAATGTCACAAGCTAGAATCATCAGCATGGTTCTTGCCATGGCAATCAAAGAGTTAAGGGCTGTGCAGTGATTTGTTTTGTATTTATTAATTTATATTTATTTTATTTCCATTCAAGGAGGGGTTTGGGGTGGGGCAGTTTTTGTCTGCTGTAAGTGTCTTAACCTAGGGAAGGGTTAAATGGCTTTTTATACTATTGCATCTTCTGTATTTACCATCAATTCATTGTGTTGTAATTAAAAGAAACTGTCAATAAATAAGAGAACAGAAAAATGGTTCACAGACACTGTGGTTTTACTCAATGACTGATTTACATGCATTTATGACCAATATGTAAGATATGATCTATAAACAGTAGCCTTTACTATCTATGTCTTTCTAATCCATGTGAAACAGAAAATGAAAACTAAGCTAGGGAAAAATTGCCAGTGCATCTACCTGGATTAGTAAGCATATTAAACTGGCCACATCAGCTGGAGAAATTGTTTAGTTACTACCTAGATGCTTATAACTGTGATCAAATAAAGGAGAAGAAATAATCATTGCATCAAATATATTTCAGGCAAATGCCTGTGAACATAGGCTATGTTAAGCTTTCTTTGTAGAAGACAACATTTTGGATAGGTGAGTATAATTTTCAAAGTTAAACATCATAGTTGTCTAGGCAAATTTAATCACAGAAATTAATTTTTATATTAGGTCTTTAGCAAAATCCAATTTAAGAAATTCCCCCTCCCCCCCCCTTTTTTTTTTTCATTTAATAATAGGATTGGCTGACATGGTGGCTCACACCTGTAATCTCAGCACTGTGGAAGGCCAAGGCGGGCAGATCACCTGAGGTCATAAGTTCAGGATAAGCCTGGCCAACATGGTGAAACACTGTCTTTACAAAAAAAAAAAAAAAATATATACAAAAATTAGCCAGGCATGATGGTGGGTGCCTGTAATCCCAGCTACTCGGGAGGCTGAGGCAGGAGAATTGCTTGGACCCAGGAGGCAGAGGTTGCAGTGAGCTAAGATTGTGCCATTGCACTTCAGCCTGGGTGACAGAGCAAGACTCTATCTCCATTTAAAAAAAAAAAAAAAGAAAAAAGAAAGATTATAGTAAACGATGGCCATGAACAGAAGAACCAACTCACAGCAAGAAAGCAAGAGGAATGACTAATATTTTCATATCTAACATGTCAATAAATTACCTTGTTCACAGGATAAACTGTGAAATCACTTTCTGAGAATATCAAGTAGTTGCAAGTAATCAAGTGCTAAACCAAGAACTTTCTGAAGATCAAATTTAATATGTATAAAAGGTCATCTGAATTTTAGGAAATCATATCAGGAATAAAGCAAACAGGTTGCTCTCTTATGCAAAAATCAAGCTACACCTGTCCACCAAGAAATTAATCTTACAAATTTTAATCCGTATAGGAAAGAGGAGCTGTGAAGCAGAGTAACTAAGATGATTACAGAGATTTAATTGCCTAAAGTTATAAAAAGTAGACTAGAGGGATAGAGATCCTTTGTGTTAAGTTGAACTCTGAATCTAGAATGAGTTCTGGGGAATTTGGAGATGTATCAAGAGTTTCAAGGAAGACTGCGGGTAATAGTTGGCTTTTAGAACATGTCAAAGAACATACAAGGGTGAGCCAACTGACAATATAGTTTATTTTTATTTGTAGAAGCCTTTTTTTTAAAAAAAAGATAAACTTGATTTTTATAAAACTATTAAGAATATTAAACCATAAATATCTGAATCCAAGAATCAGTCTCCTTTGTTTTCATTGTCAGAGAGAAGCTAGAAGCATCGAAATGACTCAGTAGATAATTTATTTTTCTTATGTATATGGATTCATTTAATATCAAAATATAATGTTATATGGTATATATTACATGACTTTGCCACAATCAAGGACTAAATTAGAATAACAACTTGTATAGAAAAAGAATACAAATATAGATAGTCTAGTAATACACCTAGCTCACTGTAGGAATAGATATTATTTATTGAGGTGGATAATAATGTTTGCATATTTTAAATTGTTTTTTAGAAGTATTTGAATGGGCATAACTTCAACCTAATTCGATGCATTCAGTCACCCTCTCAAATTAGTTGTCCCAGTGTGCCACTGGCTCTCCCCTCCTACTGTTCCTCTTCCTTCCCCTCCTTCTTCTCTTCCCTCCCTTTCCTTCTTTTCTTTCATTCTCTCTTTCTCAATTGCATTATTCCTTGAAAGAAAAATTTACAATCCATTTTTTTTTATTTTCCACACCCTCATTCTTTCCTTCTTATAATTTTGCTGCACTCCTCACTACTTCCCTAGACTTATTTTATCAAAGGTAAATTAAATATATGGTCATCACTAAATTGAGTCTTTATTTCCTACCTTAGTGGACTTCCTCACAGTATTTAGTACCAATAATTACTCTGCCATTAATATTTGTTCTAGGCAGCTCCTTGCTGGTAGGGCTATTCATTTTTTTCTACCT